CAATGTTGAAATTTTCTTAGTATTAGAGGAGTAAGACTATATTTTGACAGGGTTTCATGAACTAATCGATAAAGATTTGACTTGAGGACTGGTGAGAGTACTTACCTATGTCGTTTGGCCTTGCATGTGGCTAAGTGAGATCACTACTTAGTTTGAGTTTCAGTTTGATAGGTAGTTGCTTTAGTTGTTCGCCACGTGCTAGATCCATAAGAGTTAGTTCAATTTTTGCATTTTCTAAGCTGAATTTTGTTTTTTACTTAGATCAATTTTAATTTTTGCATTTTCTAAGCTGAATTTTGTTTCTTACTTAGATCAATTCTCGCATTTTTTTGGATCATTTGTTATACTTGGTTTTGTATAAATTTTGGTAAGCTACTTTCTCTACGAGATTATGCAAATCGAAAGAGTTAGTCAAATTTTTGACTTCTCAAAGTTCAACTTATCTAAATTTGATATATGGCTCAGTCAAAATATAGAAAGTCTCATTTTCTAAAGAAAGTGTTGCTCATATTTTACTAATTCAAGAAGTTGAACAAAATTGAACCTTGAGAAGTAAAAAGTTGATTAGCTTTGTAGAAATTTTAAAAAACTACATTCTCTACGGGAAGCGTTGTCGAAATGTTTACAAATCTAAGGAGTTAGTTAAATTTCGCATTAGCTAAACTCAAGTCTTACTTGCAGTTCTTATCTGACTTAGTATAAATTTGGAAAGTCTACTTATCTAAAGGAGATGCTGCTCAAATTTTTACTAATTCAAGAAATTTGACAAAATTTGACTTTCTAAAGTTAAAGATTATTTCATTTTTCGTATGCGAGCTAATATAAATTATGAAAATACATTTTTCCTATGCGAACAATGTCGAAATTTTCTTAGTATTAGAGGAGTAAGACTATATTTTGACAAGTGATGATTTTGGCGATCCATCATGAATAGGCGAGATTCTGCCAAAAGTCTACCTTTCTTTGGGCACTTGTTTAGAGGTGGACTTAGCTAGAAAGAGATTTTTGAGTGAGAATGTGCTATGGAGATTCATTCCCCATACACTGATTGTTTAGCTTGAGGATTGACATGTTTTATGTTACAGGTCCTCTTGATCGTTTCGATTTCGGATTTGGATTAGATTCAGCTCAATCCCACGAGGATCATCTTCTGTTATCACTGATAGCAATTTGGTTGCCGATTCGTCGGTTTACGACTAAACTCCAATCCACTCTTGCCACTCAGCCTAAAGACTTTAACAATGTGGTTTGATTTGTTATGTTTTTACCCGTACTTTATTGAATGGTCATTTAACAAAGGTACTGAGTACTTTATTGCTGCAAGTGTGCGCTAAGGTTGAGGTTTGTGTGGCTAAAGCAAGGGATATGATTGTAGAGAATGGTTGAAGTTGACCTCGTGTAGTGCATGAACTTTTTGTTGAATCTTTGAGGTGCTTGCATGTATGTTTGTGGTTCGGACTTTAGATTTGACTGTCTGCGATCACATGCATATATATGGTTGAGAGAAGTCCAACTGTGATTGAGGGAAGTGAACGTCACATATTTATACCCCTTTATATATATGTACATACATACGTATTGGGTGTTCGGGAGACCTACTGCGACTGTGCGTAAGGGGTAAATAGAGTATGCCTTGAGGAAAAAAAAAAAAAAAAAAATTTACTTTTGCTTCTTAGAGTATTTATAATTGGACATTGTAGTCCGTGACAACTGTCAAAGTCAAACCTCTCGAGTTCTCTCAAGGCCCTGGATTATGGAGCTGGTCTCCAATGCGATAAGAGACGATGGCCACCACATGTATGAACATGTGTACCACCCACTCTCTGCAGGGTGCAAAAAAGAGTGTGGTTCTCAACCACACTTAGCGGCTGTTTAACATCAAAAGATTAACCCTTCAATGCGCGTGTCAGCCAACACTTTAGTGTCGAATGAGACCCTTGAGATTTTTAAGGACCACGTGATTATGGGTACTACATAGTACGCCATCATTGCAACTGCTTGCGTATGTTTGCATTGCTAGTCGATATGAGAAAGCTCTACGTCCGCGCGATTTTATACTAAGTCTCGCGTGCGACACCTATCTGATTTCCGCGTCAGAAGGTTATGGGAGGACTATAAAATGAACTAGTAGTATTGTTGTGCTGTTTAGTTTTGTGTCGTTTCGTGTGTGTGTGTATATTTTATTTTTATGTTTAAGCGTGATGTAACGAGTGGTGAGTGGGATGCGTCCTAGTAGACCGACGACGAGTCGCGCTTGAGACTTCAGCCCCCCAGTCCGTCGGTTCCCGTGCAGGTTCGATAGAGGCGTGCGACCTCGTGTACCCCTTATGCTACAACATACGAGAAACGTCATCGGCTAGTCCACCTCTACGACTGCAACGGATTAGCTTTCGTACAGTGGACTGGTAGCTCGGCAGGGATACGTCCACCGAAGGGAGATGACAACTTTCGCATGTAGAGGTAATTTCTACCTCGCGTTGACCCTATCTTGTCGTAGGGGCTCGCGAAAGGTATGGTTGGCTCACTTGGCCGGAGCGGCTTGCGGACACTCCTTGTATATCGCGAGTAACACCAACTCCTGAGTGACGCGGTCGGGAGGGTCCCGCCCTAAGCGGGACCAATGCGCTCGACACCGCCATCGTTCCGGCCCCGCGCCCAACTCATACAACAGATCACTAAAGTAAAATAGATAGCAACGATAAAAAATAATAATCCCGACAGTAAAGACAAACCACCGGGTAAAAGAAAGAAAATCTCACCCACGTTGGGAAACAAAAACCATAGGGGATAACCTCGCCGGACCCTCCCCGCGGTTCTGCACCTGTGTTCTCGCTGGCTTTGATCCTTAAATTTTCCTGTTGAAAGTCTGACACCATAACCAATAGTGTTAGGTCCAAGGTTGAGCCTATCACTTGCAAATACCTACATGAGCAGATGTTGCACAACGCGTGGATCTACTGAAACGTTTCAAAGCTACACCTCGACCCATTACTGAATCCACGGTCGTCACGCCTTGTTCCTACCACGTGTTCGCCCCCTCATATACTCTGATTATTACCTAATGTTATGTTGTCACCAATGCTGTACTTCGTACGAACACATCCGCCATGGTCAAACGAACCTATCAAAAGATGAACTATTTTTAATCTTTAGTTTAATCAAACCTATCAATCATGAAGAAAGATCACGTGCGTCTTAAGACTGCGAGCCCACACACTCTCTATTCTTAGTCAACCATTCAACTTGCGTAAACAACAAACATGACCGCGACTCGCACGATATACGCAGACTCTAAACCAGACTCATTTCTATCACTTGCAAAAAACCAGCGCGGATACCCTTGTAAGGGTATTCGCACCGACAACGATTCAACACATTTCCCATTTTTGCCACTCAACCATATGTGGGCCAAGTAAAAAGGTAGTCAAAATTCAGTGAGCTTTTGTGCTCAGAAGAATGCGTGAAAAAACCTGAAAATTAAAGTACTTGTAGATTTTGTTGTGGCATTTTTAGAAAAAACGCTCAATAAATTAAAAAAAATAATTCCAACTGTGAAATAGATCGCGGCTGCAATTTGACCCATATTTCAATTTTGCCATTCAACATCTCTTTCCCTCTCCCTCTCTCTCCCCGTGGTAGCCCCCCCCCCCCTCTCCCTCTCTCTCTCTCTCTCTTTCTTTTT